TGATTGAATGGACATTGTGAAAGAGGAAGAGAAGTTCAAGATGGAAAAAGAAATTGTAACAGTGTACCCATCTCTTTGGCAGCCGACAGAAGGTGGTGAGACTAGCAAGGATTTGAGTCCACCAGGACTGACTCAGAATTCTGACTCTGCCAGTATTAATGATGTGACCATGGCATGATGCTTAACCCACCTCATCTGTATAATGGGCATAAAGCGATTTACCCCATAGGGTTAAATTTCATAAATTTCAATGTAAAGTGCTTTGCATAGAGTCAAGCAGAGCCATACATAAATAGTGGCTATTTTAATTATTATGTAGCTGTGGGCCTTGGAGCAACTTATCCTACATAAGTCTCACTTTCCTCCTCCATAACACAGGAATAATAACATCAGCCTCCTAGGATTACTATGAGGATTAAATTGATAATAAACCTGAGAGCACTTATAACACAAAGAAGGCATTCAATAAATATCAGTTCTTTCCGCACCCCTTCCTTCTAGCTTCCTATTGATTTAGACAATCCTATGGTACACCTGATGGGACGTGATGAAAAAGAGTCTGATTCCAAATACCTGTTTCTAGAATAGTACATTACTTTTATTGTGTCTACTAATAAAAAGACTAAAACTGAAATGATTCTCTTTCTTGTTAAGAGACCAGGGTCTCATATTACAAATGACTCTATCCTTGTGGATATGACCTTTCTGTTTTACTAGCAAATCTCATTAATGACAAAATTATTTTCCTGAAGTTGTGGAAGATAAATATACTGATCTATGACCATGTAATCAATCCTCTCACAAAGAGGACCGCCCCACAAAGAAAAAATTCTTGCCAAGTGTTTCCTTTTCTCTCATGAGGGAAAGGACAAAGCATTTATTAATCTATGGGAATAAACACTGTTGATTAATGTGATTCACATATTTTGAATGGTACCAAGTATGCCCTCTCTTTGCAGCTTTGTGTACGAAACAAAGCCTGGTTTAAGATGAGCTAGGATGCCCGGGAGGGAGTTAGGGAACCAAGTTTCACTGAACAGGCAGGAAATATGTCTAAAGCCACTTCCTCCATTTTAATCTGTGGGATAATTTGGTTCTTTTCAGAAATAATCTGAATAGTTGCTGTCCCTGTTGAAGAGAGGGGTGTAATGACTCTGAATAGTAGTCCAAATGCATAGGAAGGCCCTATATCAGCCAGGATCCCAGCAAGAAACAGATGGCACACTCCAAAGGAGTGAAAGAAGTATCGCTGAACCCGGATAATGGCTATGTGGGCATCTATTATACTAGTTTCTCTATATATGTCTATGTTTGAAATTGTCTACAGTAAAAAATATGAAAACAGAGGCGTGTAAAAGAGGGACTGATGGGGCTTCCCTGGTGGCACAGTGGTTGAGAGTCCACCTGCCAATGCAGGGGACACGGGTTCGTGTCCCATTCCGGGAAGATCCCACATGCCGCAGAGCGGCTGGGCCCGTGAGCCACGGCCGCTGCGCCTGCGCGTCCGGAGTCTGTGCTCCACAACGGGAGAGGCCACAACAGTGAGAGGCCCGCGTACCACACACAAAAAAAGAGGGAATGATGAAAGTGATTTACAAAGATGTGGGCAGAGGTTAAAAGAAAACAAGGGAAGGCGATATCTCCCTCTTTTCCCTCCATACCCCTTCCCTCTCACCCGCACCGGACTGCAAGAGTGGCAGGTGCTACCAGCCGCAGGCTTGAAGGAGCAAGGGAGAGGGACCAGCTCTGGGCACCCAAGGAGACCTGTAGCTGTAGAAAAGGGCCACCATCAGGAACTGTGGCCTTGGGTGGAGGAACGCAGACACCGTTAACCAAGTACGTAAATTTGTGAAGCCCAGGGCAAACTGAAAAATCAAGAAAAAAATGTAATTAAAGGTCCTGAAATATAAAACTTTAGCTTTTCTTCCACAGTCTTTCTTTCCCTCTCACTTGACTGGTCATGTTTTAAATTTTTTCCATTTAACACCATTTAAAGTAAAGAAAAGAATTAAAAGTTTAAATTATCAGCACAAACTTTACCACTTACATTGTGCAATGTCAGTTTTAAATGCAATACAAGAGCATTTAACTTGTATGCAGCAGAATCACCAAAATTATCCAATTCACATTTCAAAGTTCATACATAACATATGCATTTGTTTTCTTGCTGGAACAGCGGAAACACCCCTCAGAACTAACTCAACTATTCCATTTAACTTCTTTATACACACACATTGTACCAACCCTGTCTGCCTTTGGCTTACTAATGAGTAAAGAGGGACTGAAAGGAAAAGGAACTATGGATTGTCCTGTCCTCCCTTTCCTTCTATGGCATCATTTTTAGTGTAAGTGGTTGGCTAATATAGGGACGTAACATGAGTAAGGAAGGATATGATAGAGTTCCTTGGTTAGTTGGGTTTCTTAGCATGCCACAGCCTTTTGTTTGTTTGTTTGTTCTGGTTCAAGTGGAAGGAGAGGCATTTCGGGCTTAATCAGTCGCAGAGGTTCACCTTGACCTTGCTCTGAGTCTCAGTGAACTCCCAAGTGTCATGGATGCACAGGAATGCTATGCCCATGGAGCACTGGAAATGCTGTATGCAAATGGGGCAATCAGAAATGGCATAAGGTGTATCACGTGTATCTCCTCTTTAGTAATCAGACTTTACTAACGAAACACACATTCAAAGATAAAATTAAGAATTTCAAAATGGTGTCAGCAAAGCATTAAATCAAATGCAGGACCCCTCTGAGTATGGGGCCCTATTGACTGCAGAGGTCACACACCCATGAAAGCTGCCCTGCTGCCAACCCATGGTCAGGCAAGGAAGAAGCCAGGAGAATTAATGTTCTTTCCTTCAGTCCTCCCACCTCCTGCACCACTTACAATAGGTCTTCGTACATGTGAGATGTAACAGAAAATATACATATATTGGTCTCTACCCCTAGTTCATGATACAGAGCTCCTAAAACACTTGTAATTTCCTAAGTGATAAGAGCTTAGGAGCATCTTTTGTTCTAAAATTTGGTCTTTGACCCCAGTTCCTGACACCGATCTCCTAAATCCTTTGGAATTTCCTGGATGATAGCAATGTCCTTTGTTCTAAGAAGGTGACTCTTTTTTTTTTTAAAACAACTCTGAATTTTTTTTAAATAAATTTATTTATTTATTTTTGGCTGCATTGGGTCTTCATTGCTGTGCGGGCCTTTCTCTAGTTGTGGTGAGCGGGGGCTACTCTTCGTTGCGGTGCATGGGCTTCTCATTGTGATGGCTTCTCTTGTTGCGGAGCACGGGCTCTAGGTGCATGGGCTTCAGTAGTTGTGGCATGCAGGCTCAGTAGTTGTGGCTCGTGGGCTCTAGAGTGCAGGCTCAGTAGTTGTGGTACACAGGCTTAGTTGCTCTGAGGCATGTGGGATCTTCCCGGACCACGGCTCGAACCCGTGCCTCCAGCGTTGGCAGGAGGATTCTTAACCACTGCATCACCAGGGAAGGCCCTAAAAGGTTGACTCTTGGTGGGCTCTTGGATGGGGCCTGGTCACCAGAAAGACCAAGCCATGATTAGAAGCTTGGAATTTTCAGCTCACCTCCCATTCTCTAGAGAGGGGAGAAGGGCTGGAAATGGAATTAATGGTCCATCATGCTTACATGATGGAGCCTCCATAAAAATCCCAAAATATGAGGTTCTAGAAAGCTTCTATTCTAAGTTGTTGAATACGTGGAGGTGCTGGGAGAAGGAGCATTGGGAGAGGGCATGGAAGCTCCGTTCCTCTTCCCACATGCTTTGCCCTTCATATCTCTTCCATCTGGATGTTCATCTGTATCCTTTATCATACCCTTTAATAAACTGGTAAACATAAGTGTTTCCCTGAGTTCTGTGAGCTATTCGAGCAAATAATCGAATCTAAGGAGGTCACGGGAATCTCTGATTTGTAGCCAAGTTGAACACAAGTTGTGGGTAACCTGGGGACCTACTACTTGCGATTGGCATCTAAAGTGGTGGGGAGGGGGGCAGTCTTGTAGGACTGAGTCCTTATCCTGTGGCATCTGATGCCATCTCCAGGTAGATAGTGTCAGAATTGAGTTACACTGTAGGACACCTAGCTGGTGTCTCAGAAAACCCACATGTCTGGTGTCAGAAGCGTTGTGAGTGTGGCAGTAGTGTGAGAACAAAACAGATATGCAGGAGAAGTGTAGGTTTTGCCTACACAGTACACAATTAGCGCTTGGTAAAAGTGAGAAATTATTATTATGCAATGGCTCGAAATATAGCACTTATACACATTTGGGCAATATTAAAGTTGAAACATTTCTGCAACAGATGAAGACTATGATCCATTAGTTTTTACTATGTATAATTTTACAAAAACTATGATTATGAATGGGTGGATCTTTCCACGTTTAATCTCTAGCCAAAGATAAGTATTGTGAAGTTTTCATTAACAAAACACAGTCACTTCTGAACTTTTCTCACCAAAAAGCAGAGGTACACCTTACCTTTTTATACCTTGCAGATAAATTGTCCTACTCCACCATCCCCAAACATTGAGGAAAGATTTTTTTCTCTTTAACCCTGGTCAATTTATACACTAACATAAGGAGATTAGATGGAATACCAGATCCCATTGAGCAAGTAGCTAGGTGGGGCTCTTTTCTCTTTAAAGGCAACTTTAGATTAGAATCAAGTGTGAATAAAATAAACAGTTTAGAAAATGTTAGAGAGGTTTGGTCGTCAGTCTTTCTTACTTCTAGAGGTCAAGTTGAAATAAAATAGTAAGAGTCAGACTTTCTGCATTCCTGTGCATATCCAAGCAAGCCCATCACACAACCTCACTAATTTCCATGTCCTCATCCACAGAAGAATCATGTGGAAAGTGCTGCCCAGCCGCACTCCTAAGGTTCTTGTGAGGATTTTAAAAGATTTTTTGTTCGTTAAAAAAATCCTGAGAAACAAAAGCACTCTACAAATGCAAAAAAGAATTTATTCAAATAACTTTCTTCTTACCCAATATCTTTTTTGCACATCATTCAACAGCAGGTAGACTGGCTTATCTGTCAGGAACAACAGTCCTGAATTAATCCCATTCACGTCTTTGAAGTGTTCTTACCAGTATCTGTAAGAAAAAAATCATACTTGATTAACCAAATAGTGTTCTTTAATGTTCATGATAAATAAATGGTGTCTGGTCAATAACAGGTTCTCAATAAAAATTTGTTGAATGAATTCGGAAGTTCTATAACGTAAAACATTTGACATGATTTTACTCCCAAGGCTGTTAAAAGTCAAAACAATGGCTAAAACAATTTAGTTACTAGGGAGACCTAATTTTCATGTAGAGAGAGTTGAATAATAACAAGAACCAGAGCCTTAAAGTAAACACTCTTCTTCTGGCCGACTTGATCACTGTGGTGACTGTCCAGCATGAATGTGTAATAGCAACACATTTATTTAGTATTTCTGTTTAAAAAAACAGTGAATGGTAAAAGTAAAAATCTGAAATGGTATCAAACTCTTAATTGAAACATATTACAGCATAACGCTGGCAAAAAAAATGCACGTGGATTTCATAAACTCTGTGAATAAGCAGGACATTTGTAATGTGAACAGTGGAAGAAGAAGGGAGAAAAGGGTCAAAGGACTCATTATAGATTCAAGATATTGGTAAATGCTGTCTATAATTCATAAAGAAGGCTGAGAAAGGAAACAGGGATTCTTTGTGTTTTGTTTCTTTGGTTTTTTAACATCATATTAGCAGAGACTTTCTACCATCTGTCTTTCTTCAATATTTGTCTCAACATTTTGCTATTTGTTAGCATTTTTCTTTCTTTAAACAGTTTTATTGAGATACCATTCTCACATACCACATAATTCACCCATTCAGAGTGTACAGTCCAATGGTTTTTAGTATATTCACAAGATTGTACAACCACTACCACCATTTAATTCCAGAACATTTTCATCACCCCTAAAGAAGCTCCTACCTATTAGCAGTCACTCCCCATTTCCACCCCTTCCCCCAGGACAGCCATTAGTTTACTCTCTTACCTCTATAAATTTGCCTATTCTGGACATTTCACACAGATGGAATCATACAATATGTGGTCTTTTGTGATTGGCTTCTTTCACTTAGATAATGTTTTCAAGGTTCATTCTGTTGCAGGATGTATCTGTGTTTCATTTCTCTTTGTTGCTGAGTAATATTCCATTGTGTGGAAATACCACATTTTATTAATTCTTTCATCAAGTGATAGACATTTGGGTTGTTTTCATTTTAAAGCTGTTTTGAATAATACTGCTGTGAACCTTCGTGTGCAAGTTTTTGGGAGTATACATCTAAGAGTGGAATGGCTGGGTCATATAGCAGCACTGTGCCAACTTTTTAAATCAACTTTTAAAAATTTGAGATACAATTCACATACCACAAGATCCACCATTTTAAAGTGTACACTTTACTGGGTTTTAGTACATACACAAGGCTATGCAACCATCATCAACATCTAATTCTAGAAAAATTTCACCACTGCAAATAATGTACACATTACCCTTGAATTAACATTGGATCAGTAAGCCTAGATGCCTCTGCTCTTTCTTTTGCCTTGGAAAAATGATTTAAAACACATTGTCATTTTTATTAAAATCAAAATTTCAAGTGGGTATTTGAAAAATAAGCACACTGACTTTCTAAAATAATGGGTTTATTGAGATGTAATTCACATACCATAAAATTCATACATTTAAAGTGTACAATTTAGTGGTTTATAGTACATTCACAAAGTTGTGCAATCATTACCACTGTCTAATTCCAGAACATTTTCATCGTGCCAGAAAGAAACCCTTTACCCACTACCAGTCATTCCCCATTCTCCCCTTCCTCTAGCCTCTGGCAACCACTAATTTACTCTCTGTCTCTGTAGATTTTCCTATTCTGGACTATGTTTAACTTTCTGAAGTGTGAAAAAGAACTCTTATACCATTGTCCATTAACCACTTCTTTGAAGCATAAATCATTTGGCTACACACACGTGCATTCACACATACACACGCACACACACCTATTGTTTTTGTCACTACTGACATTTTCACACCTCCATCCCACTTTGTTGTACTCACAGGTGAGCTCAGCACCTGTTAAAATACCAAAGTGGGGAAAATACAAGCAGCATATGGCAAATTATTGGTATCCTCAATAGAGAGATTTACTCATCTCTGCAGTGACCATATAATTACAAACTAAAACAAGATAATTTTTCTTTTTTAATATATTTATTTATTTTTGGCTGTGTTGGGTCTTCGTTGCTGTGCGCGGGCTTTCTCTAGTTGTGGTGAGCGGGGGGCTACTCTTCGTTGCGGTGTGCAGGCTCCTCATTGTGATGGCTTCTCTTGTTGCGGAGCACGGGCTCTAGGCCCACGGGCTTCAGTAGTTGTGGCATGTGGGCTCAGTAGTTGTGGTTCGTGGGCTCTAGAGTGCAGGCTCAGTAGCTGTGGTGCATGGGCTTAGTTGCTCCGCGGCACGTGGGATCTTCCGGGAGCAGGGCTCGAACCCATGTCTCCTGCATTGGCAGGCGGATTCTTAACCACTGCACCACCAGGGAAGTCCAAAACAAGATAATTTTTAAATCAAAAACACCTCTTCCAAAAGATAATCTAAACACTATAATACCCAGAATTGCTGAGGATGTAAACAAAGAGGCACTCTCATACACTGTCAATTGGAATTTAAAGTTTTATAACACTTCTCAAGCCCAATTTGGCCACATGTGTCAAAAACCTTTAACATATGTGTCTTTTTGACCCAGAAATTCCACTTTAAGGAATTTATTATTAGGAAATTATCTTAGGAACCCTTAAAGATATGTGTGTGTGTGTGTGTGTGTGTGTGTGTGTGTGTAGGGTTGTTCATTATCTCATTGATATTTAAAATATCAGAAAACAGGAAAAAATTCTAAATATTTTTTAAGAGAAAGAGGTTAGTTACTTAGCTTACCAGAGAGCCATATGATCAATTACCAAGCTGCTGATAAAAATTATATCGAGGACCAGTGATGAACAGTGGATTTTAAATAAAAACCACATCATCATTTACATTAGCACCCCGCAAAATGAAATACTTAGGTATAATTCTAACAAAATATGTACAAGAGCTATTTGAGAATAACTCCCAAACTCTAATGAATGAAATCAAATAAATGGAGAGATAGTCTGTGTTCCTGAATAGGAAGAGTCAGTATCATCAAGATGTCAGTTCTTCCCAACTTGATTTATAGATTCATTGCAATCCCAGTCAAAATCCCAACAAGTTCATGTGTGGATATTGGCAAACAGATTCTAAAGTTTATATGCAGAGGGAAAAGATACAGAATAGCCAACACAGTATTGAAGAACAAAGTTGGAGGACTAATACTATAGATTTCAAAACTTACTACAGTAAAGCTACGGTTATTAAGACTGTGTGAAATTGGCAAAAGAATAGACAAATAGATCAGCGGAACAGAATAGACAGTCCAGAAATAGACTCACATAAATATCGTCAACTGATCTTTGACAAAGAAGCAAAGGCAATACAATAGAGCAAAGACAGTCACTTCGACAAATGGTGCTGGAACAACTAGACATCCACACACAAAAAATGAATCAAGACATAGACTTTAGGCCCTTCACAAAAATTAATTCAAAATGGATCATAGACCTAAACATAAAATGCAAAATTATAGACTCCTATAAGATAATATAGGAGAAAACCTAGGTGGCTTTTTTGATACACAAAAGGCACAATCCATTACAGAAATAATTAATACTGGATTTTATTAAAATTAAAAACATTTGCTCTGTGAAAAATGATTTCAAGATAATGAGAAACAAGCCACAGACAAGAGAAAATATTTATGAAAGACACATCTGATAAAGAACTGTTATACAAAATATACAAAGAATTCTTAAAATACAACAAGAAAACAAACAACCCAGTTAAAAAATGGGCCGAAGAATTTAACAGACACCTTGCCAGAGAAGATATACAGATGGCAAATAAGCTATGAAAAGATGCTTCACATCATATGTCATTAGGGAAATGCAAATTAAAACAACAACGAGATAGCACTACACATCTATTTAGAGTGGCCAGAATGTGGAACACTTACAACACCAAATGCTGGCAAGAATGTGAAGCAACAGGAACACTCATTCATGCTGGTGGGAATGCAAAATGGTACAGCCACTTTGGAAGACAGTTTGGTGGTTTCTTACAGAAGTAAACCTACTCCTACTATATCATCCATCAATCATGCTCCTTGGTGTTTATCCAAAGGAGTTGAAAGTAAATGTCCATACAAAAACCTGCACATGGATGTTTATAGCAGCTTTACTTATAATTGCCCTAACTTGGAAGCTACCAAGATGTCCTTCAGCATGTGAATGGATAAATAAACTGTGGTACGTCCAGACAATCGAATAGTATTCTGCAATAAAAAGAAATGAGCTATCAAGCCACGAAAAGACATGGAGGAACCTTAAATGTATATTACTAAGTTAAAGAAATTAACCGTATAAGTTAACTATTTATATTTGTTCTCTATGTAATATTGTATTTTAATTTTTAAAATATTATGCAACTTAGCAATAAATACTTTTATAGTTAAAAAATGCCACAAAAGTGGCAATGAATTTTTTTTAAACTCTGAAATATTACAAGATAAATAACATAAATCTTGTGAAAGAGGAAAGGCTTCATCTTTCACTTTGTCAAAAAGTAGTTGCTAAAAAGCAACCAGAGGTTTCAGGAGGGAAAAAAAGGAAAATAAGTCCTTATGTACCCTTTTGCCATGGCATTGGCCTACAGGAAGAACTGAGGAAGACTGTCAGTCTTTTTAAAACGACGCAGCCCCCGCGGTAAAGACTATTCAAGCGATTTTACGTGTTCTCAGAGGAAGTCTTTGAACTAGGGATCCTTTCCTGAGAAAGTTCCTTTTTCAATCACCAAATAGAAAGGAACCCTTTCTGAAGATTGTCTTGGAGGATTAGATGTCTGTGGGGAGGGATGGCTGGCTGGCTGGCTGGATGGATGGATGAATTGATAGGTGGATGGATGGGCAGATGGACAAGTGGACAGATGGACAG